CACACACACACACACACACACACACACACACAGACCTAGGCAACCATTGACCTATCCCTATAGATTTCTATCCCTATAGATCTGCCTTTTCTCAAATTTCATATTGAAATCAGTTCTCTTTTGTGTCCAACCTCTTTACTGCTGATATTTATGCAAATTACTGTTGCATTTATCAATAGTTCATTTCCCTTTATTGCTGAACATTCTATTGTCAATATATCTATCAATTGCTTATCCATTCGTGGGTCTTCACATGGCTATAATGCTCCTATGAATACCCCTGGTCTTTTCTGCCTTCCTTTCCATTCCATTCCATATTTACTTAAGAGTCAAATTACCAGATCATATGGCAATTGTACATTTAATTTTAAAAGTGCTCAAATTATTTTCCAAGGTGGTTATATTACTTTACATTCTTACAAAGCCATATATGAGAGGTCTAACTGCTCTATTTCCTTTACAACATGTGGTATTACTCTCATCAGTTTTCTTCATTCTGTGTGTTTAGTACGATCTCCTTGTGGTTTTAATTTGCATTTCCCTGGTGGTTAAAAATATTGAACATTTTTATACGTATTTAATGTTCCGTGGATCTGCATGTCTGTTGGCACACCAATACCACACTGCCTCAATTAGAGCAGCTTTACAGACAGTCTTTAAATCAGCTGAAGTGTAAGCCCTTCAACTTTGTTCTTAACCACAGCATCTCTTCCAATCCATAAACTTGGTATAATCTCTCTATTCAGGTCTTTAATTTGTCTCACCAATATTTTATAGTTCACTGTATAGAGGGTTTCTTTATAATATAGTTCATTAAACTTTACTTTTTTTTTTCTTTTCTTTTTTTCTCTAAAGAGAGGAGGTTTCACTATGTTGCCTGAGCTGCAGTTGCCTCCTGGGCTCAAGTAAGCCTCCCATCTCAGCCTTTAAAGTAGCTGGGACTATATGCACATGCCAGTACAGCAATCTCAGTTCACTGCAACCTCCGCCCCCACCCCGGTTCAAGCAATTCTCCTGCCTCAGCCTCCCGAGTAGCTGAAATGACAGGCACGGGCCACCATGCCTAGCTAATTCTTGTATTTTTAGTAGAGACAGGGTTTCTCTATGTTGGCCAGGATGGTCTCTATCTCCTGATCTCATGATCCGCTAGGATTATAGGCGTGAGCACTGCCCAGTTGCCAGCTGCTTTTTGATGCTCCATTAAATAGTATTGCTTCAGTTTCCAACTGCATATTACTAGTGTATTTATAAATAACTGATTCTTATACATTCACCTCATATCCTCTGACTATTCTAAATTTATTAGTTCTAATAGTTGTGTGGATTTCTTGGGAATTTCTATGTACACAGTTATCTAGAAATAAAGACAAGTTTTACTACTTCTTTTCCAAGCTGTGAGTCTTTATTTTTCTTGCTGCCTGTAGTAAAGTTGCCTGTGCAACGTTGAAGAAAGGTAGTTAAGGCAGGCATCCTTGCCTTGCTCTCAACCATTAAGTACAATGTTGGCTGTGGATTTTTCACAGATTCACTCTATCAGGCTGAGAAAAATTGCCCTTTCTTGCTAGGTTAGGGAGTCTGTAAATGAATAGGTGTTAATTTTTGGCAAATGGGTTTTCTTTAACTGCTGATATAATCACCTAATTTTTCTCTTTCACTCTGTTGATATGGTGAATTACCTGATTCAATAAACTTACCTTCATGGGACTAAAAAAAAAAAATTTTGTTTATAACACTCTACCTTTTATACACTGCTGGACTTGACCACTAGTTTTTTGGTTTTTTGTTTTTTCATTGTTTTTGTCTGTTTCTTACCCAGACTGGAATGCAGTGGCACCATCACAACTCAAGCAATCCTCCCACTTCGACCCCCCAAGTACCTGGGACTACAGGTGCATGCCACCACGCCTGTCTATTTTTTTTGTAGAGACAGGGTTTGCCATGTTGGCCAGGCTGGTCTTGAAGTCCTGAGCTCAAGCAATCAATCTGCCTTAGTCTCCCCAGTAGAGAAATGGTGTCTCCTGTGTGGCTTAGGCTGGTCCTGAACTCCTCTCCTCAAGAGATCATCCCGCTTTGGCCTCCCAAAGTGTAGGGGTAACATGTGAGCCACCACACCAGGCCCAGTATTTCTCTTAACATTAAATTATCCCTATATATTGAAGTCATATTTGATAGTTTGAATTTTTTAATATATGACTTTTTTATATTTAGTACTATTTTGAAAAATAATTTTTGCAACTATACTCATTAGATTATAGTTTACTGTCTTGTGCCATCATTTTCAGAAATAGAATAATCCTAATTGGATTAAATGTATTACTTTTAAAATTGGGGGAAGTGACAAAGAAATAAACTCTGAAAATCATGGTAATAAAACTCCCAATGTCTACCACTTCTTAAATATTTATTTTTCTTCACACTCTGGGACTCTCATTACAAAATCTTGACAGATCATTATTCATCCCATTCTACATTTTAGAGTATATATACTATTATATATATATATATATATATATATGAATGAAACATTCTTGAAACACTGCTCCTGAGACAAAAATCTACCTTTCAAATAGATCTACCACCATCCTCAAATCTCCCTTTGTAAAATCAAAACATGTTTCCAGTATTAGTGGTTTTTCTCTCTTCCTGAAATTCTCTTCCCCTAGTTATTTCTACGGCCCCACCCCTCACTTCATTTAGCTCTAAACTAAAATGTCACCACTTTAGTGAAGCCTTCCTTGGCTGCCCTAAAGTACTCCCTATCATCTTCTCTATCCAGCTCTAGTCCTGAATTATTTTTCATAACCTGAAACATTTATCCCCAGTGCCTAGAAAAGTACTTGATAGTTAAGTGGCGAATTAATATTTGTCAAAGGAACAAATGAATGAAATTAAGTGGCCACTTACGTAGCATACTTTAAACAAAAAATTCCCCTGCTCTGGGGAGGGATTTTCACTACCTGAAATGCTCATTAAGGATACAGCCTTCTTCTCACTTCCTCTATAAAACGTGATCACCCTATAAGACTACCACATAAATCACTAGTCAACAGTAACTTGGTAAAGTCATTTCATTTATGAGAGTCTTTCTTCCATGATAATAAGTTCTCCTGGCCATGAACACTGAAGTTCCATGTAAAGGAAGAAAAATACAAGGAGCATTCCAGAAACAAATTGTTGTCCTCATTTTCCCCATATATTTTTTTTAATTATTATTTTTAAAGACGGGGTTTCACCATATTGATCAGGCTGGTCTCGAACTCCTGACCGCAGGTGATCCGCCTGCCTCAGCCTCCCAACGTGCTGGGATTACAGGCATGAGCCACCGCACCTGGCCATTTTCCCCATATTTTTTTTTTTTTTTTTTTTGAGACGGAGTTTCACTCTTATTACCCAGGCTGGAGTGCAATGGCACCATCTCGGCTCACCGCAACCTCCGCCTCCTGGGTTCAAGCAATTCTCCTGCCTCAGCCTCCTGAGTAGCTGGGATTACAGGCACGTGCCACCATGCCCAGCTAATTTTTTGTATTTTTAGTAGAGATGGGGTTTCACCATGTTGACCAGGATGGTCTCGATCTCTCGACCTCGTGATCCACCCGCCTCGGCCTCCCAAAGTGCTGGGATTACAGGCTTGAGCCACCGCGCCCGGCCACATTTTCCCCATATTAATGATACCTTTCAATCAACACAATGTAAAGATATTCTGCCTATTGTTCTTGGTGCCTCCCCTCACAGGATTAAAACAGAGCATAAGTATATGCTTGACAGAGCATTTAAGGAAAAAGCAGTATTTGGTCTGGGTGATCTAGAAGGGGATGGCAGTTCCCCAAGACCCTAATGTCTTCAGTGAGTCATTCCTGGAGGTGATCAAACAGAAAGTTAATCCTGAAAAAAGAAACAGACATTGACTATGGGAAGAAAGTATGTTCTGTAGCTGTGGCTTCTCTTTAGGGACTTTGCACAAGTTTTGGGTCTGAATGCAAAAGAAACAGGAGTTTTTGAGTCCATTGACAAAAGAAAGGAGGACCCTCACTTTACCCTATTCCCAGTAAATTTGCCCACAGCTGATCTGGACCTTAGAAAAATGAGCAGACACCAAGGAGGCAAGAAAAAGAATCCAGGCTACAGAACACACAGACTGATGTCCTAACTTGTTTCTCAAACATGCCATTATACTGCTATACTGGTAGCAAGCACGAGTAATGCAGCATTGTTCACAGAAAATAGAGAAAACAGATTTTTTTTTTTTTAAACATAGAAAACTCTCCATTTTCCCACCTCAACTCTGAACAAATATTGTCCATTATTATGACAGCATTACTGAATTATAATTTAGATCCCTTCCAAAATTCACTCTTTACTGAATGCTGGGAATAGAAGTCAGAACCTGGAAGCCTATGTATTTCTAGTACTGTTATTTTTTATTCTCATCTAATTCTTCAGTATTATCAATAACAAAATAACCAAATAAGCTAATGATTCAAAATTCTACACGCATACAATTTCAAAACATGAATTCATTTTCTGGCTTGCTAATTATCTAAATTCATAAGTATTTATATGAAATTAAAATACAATGGATCTCTACACTGATTTAGATGTAATAAAATAATCAAGAAACAAAGATAAGTAAAGCATATACGAAATTCTAACTTAGAATGAATCTAATTTAGGTATTTGGACATAGTATATACCTACACTATAATCCAAGACAATGGGTTTTATAAGGGATTTAAATTTAACTCTCTACTAATACTGCAGTGCTCTTTCCATTTCTTTCCTCCCTCTAAGTTCATTTGTTTCAACAATTCACGAGTCCTGCAGTACCTTCCTCAACCTTCTATTACCTAAATTATACAAGGCTACATGGCATGTACATGTATAATTTCATGCTTTGTATATTTATTTCTACTCACAAATATCTGTTTCCTATTAATTTCAAAATTAGCTCATGCACAAATTTCTATGAAGAAAATAGAAATGGAATTCATTGAATGCCTAACCTCTTGATTTTCTACTCCATTGCTGGAAAGCTCCAAAACAGTACCTCCACTGTCAACCACTGCTGATGTCATGGTTATTCCCTGAGGAAGCTTCAAATGCTATAATCAATGAAATTAAAGGTTCATGGATGGTTGCCAGTGTTATAAGTTTGCTTTATCATGTTTTAAAAGTCAATAGACATGGAGTGAAGTAGATATCCAGAAATTCAGTCTTCGAAAGATGATTAACCAGACAGCCTAAAAAGAGAAAGAATTTGAAAAGCTATTTTAAAAATTACAGGAAGGACATAAAGCATAACTTATTTTGCAATCTAATTTTAACACTGAACTAAGAAAAAGAAGATAGGCTTCTATATCCCCATGTCAAAAGAGGGAAGTAATGAACATTCTACTTCTTAAGAGTTAGTGACCAAGTTCATGAACATACTGAGTAAGCTCTTAACATGCAGTTGTACCTAGGTAGTATTAGGATATTTATATTCTAGAAAATAAAACGTTATCACTTTCTTCCTTTATGAAGAAAGTTCATACACATTCCATACATATGAAGGAATATGCTTTATTCCTGAAATATGTTAAGTTTCTAGAAATGTTAAAAATCTCTTATTCACTGACTATATAAAATATGCCGGACTGAGACAACTTTTAAAACTATTTGCCCATTTAACAAATTAAGAGATTATTAATTCTTAAATATTTCATTCTTCTTATTTGCCTCATCTGGTTGGTTTGTTTGAAAAATCCGAACTGTCTTTTGCTTATGGCAGCAATCTCATTTTGTATTCACACTTTGAATACAGGAACTGTAAGACAGACTAATTTGAATTGCTTATATTTTCAAATAAAGTAGTTTAAAAATAAAGCAGTTACCACTTGGAATTCCTTTGATATTATTTTATCATACTTTACTCAATTGTTTTGATATTAGTTCAAAATGCAATACGGCAAATGGTTTCAAGTAGTCTCTTAATCTCTTACATTGTTTCCCCTTCCTACATTATCTGTATTTATGCAGTAATTTATTCCTAAAAGGTTACTTTTTATTTGATTTTGTATATACTAAAATTTTCTCACAGAGGAAGTACAGAGATTTATTACTAAAAGAATTTTTTCATGTCAAAAAGGCAGAAAAATCAAGCATATCTAAAGAGAAAATATACATTTCCCATAAATCATTCCATTAATATTAGGCCTTTGTATTATGTTTGCCTACTGGCATCATACAGATATGGAAATAAAAGAATAAATAATTCCTAGAAACTTCTAGAATAAAATGAAATACCTGAAAAAAGCAGAAATTTCATCTTACTGACCAATACTATTAGCTTCCTTTTTGATCTTATAAACATAAAATGGAATAGAAAGTTTTTTGTATCTTAAGAAGAAAAATTAATAAAATTCCATAGTCCCATCATACTATCACCATATAAGGTAATAAAAAGTAATGACTATTTCTAAATTGTTTTCTAAACATATATATAATAATAGCAGAAATAAATTTTACTTACGATTTGTATGTTAAGTAGTCTAAGCATCCTTCACTATTTTCACAACTTGGGTAAAGCTAAAATCTGAACCAGAAGTTCTTCGGAACAACTAGTGGGAGGTGGAAAAAGATAGTATTAATATAATTATATTAAAAAGCACTTTGCTCAAATAAATGTGATCGAGACAGTAAACACTTAATACAACAAATCACTTCCAAAACCATATGACACACATTCACATAAGGAATATAATAAATTATTTCTAGGTTTTTGATGAATCAGAAGTTTTTATCAAACTTAAAATTTTAATTCAACACTACATAACAACTATTGAGTGAGGACAGAACCAACATACGAAGCCTATGCTCCATACTATGGGCTGCATTTCAAACAGGTCCTTGTGTTTTGTTTTGTTTTGTTTTGTTTCTCATAAGGTAAGTTCTAATAACAGGTTCTGAGTAAGTGGCTACAGGTATAACCCCTGCCCCCAAGGAGTATAAAATCAAGTTTGAAAAATAACACTAGCCCCAAAAAACTACTAAAAAACAATGTTTAAGAGAAAAAAAAAATTTAGAGTTGAGGTCTCAACTCTGTCACCAAGGCTGGATCACAGTGGTGAGATCATGACTCACTGCAGCCTCAAATTCCTGGACTAAGCTACCCTTCTGCCTCAGACTCCTGAGGAGCTGGGACTATAGGCATATACTACCATGCCCAGGTCAGTATTTCTTATTTTTTGCCTTTATTTTTAAAGATAAGATAATACTATGTTGCCCAGGCCGACCTCAAACCCCTGGCCTCAGGTGATCCTCCCACCTCAGTCTCCTGAGTCACTATTAGACATGCTCCTGCTATCTCACCCCACTAACTTAACATCAGCACACATTCAAACATCCCAAGCCCTACTTCTAACTTCCAAGCCTCCTCAAATATTCCACCTTCTTTCAAAGTCTAATGTATTGACTTAATACACTTGATCTTAGGTCTTGCTATGTCAATTATTTCCTTTTTCCTTAATCTTCTCTTACGAACATTGGGCTCCTTTTCCTCATATAAGCATTTGCAAGATCCTCTCATCTTAAAAGTAGAAAAGTTGGCTGGGCAAGGTGACTCAGGCCTGTAATCCCAACACTTCGGGAGAGGGAGACGAAGGATCACTTGAGCCCAGGAGCTCTTCACCGACCTGGCCAACATAAGAAACCCCTATCTCTACAAAAAAATTAAAAACTTAGGAGGGCCTAGTAGTGCAAACCTGTAGTCCCAGGTACTTGGGAGGCTGAGGTGGGAGGATTACTTGAGCCCAGGCGGTTGAGGCTGCAGTGAGCCATGATCCTGCCACTGCACTCCAGCCTGGGTGACAGGGAAAGACCCTATCTCAAAAACAAAAAAAAAAGGAAAAGTTCTCTTCCATAATCCTGCATACCTTCCAGCTACCACTTCAGTTCCTTCCTTTCTCAGATAAGTTTCTAGATGAGAAATCTTGTATACTCTGTCTCTACTTTGTAATTTCTCAAGTACTTCTCCTTCTATGATCCATCCCCATTCAACTGAAACTTTTACTAAATTCTGCTTGTAGAATCCAATTGATACATTTCTGTCTTCATAGGACTTGATGTGTCTGAAGCATCCGACACTGTTAATCACTCCCTTCTTGAAACTCTACCTTGAGGCCAGGTATGGTGGCTTTTGCCTGTAATCCCAGCACTTCGGGAGGTCAGGAGTTCAAGACCAGCCTGGCCAAGATGGTAAAACTCTGACACTACTAAAAACTACAAAAATTAGCCAGGTGCAGTGGCAGGCACCTATAATCCCAGCTACTCAGGAGGCTGAGGCAGGAGAATCACTTGAACCCAGGTGGCAGAGGTTACAGTGAGCCAAGATTGTGCCATTGCACTTGCACTCCAGCCTGGGTGACAGAGTGAGACTCCATCTTTAAAAAAAAGAAAAAAAGAAAGAAACTCTATCTTGAATTTAACTTTTCCCTCTCTAATTACTCCCTTTCAATTCCCTCTTGCAGGCTCAACCCTCATTTTCAAGGGGCCTGGGACAAGAATACAAATAGAAGTCTATATACCATATGTCTAAATATTTTTTAAAGTTCTTTTTTTTTTTTTTTTTGAGACGGAGTTTCACTCTTGTTAGCCAGGCTGGAGTACAATGGCGCGATCTTGACTCACTGCAACCTCCGCCTCCTGGGTTCAGGCAATTCTCCTGCCTCAGCCTCCTGAGTAGCTGGGATTACAGGCACACGCCACCATGCCCAGCTAATTTTTGTATTTTTAGTAGAGACGGGGTTTCACCATGTTGACCAGGATGGTCTTGATCTCTTGACCTCGTGATCCACCTGCCTCAGCCTCCCAAAGTGCTGGGATTACAGGCTTGAGCCACCGCGCCCGGCTATTTTTAAAAGTTCTAAGTCAAGCTGTTAAATTATTATTCCATCCCCCTATCTTGACTAATAACAATCTGAAAGGCCAAGTTCTATTTTTGGGTTCTCAGGCTCCCTTCACGTTGTGTAGGGACATAGGAAGAAAAGTCCATATCCTTTCCCCGTGTCTGCAGCCACCTCCTTTTCTTGTCCCATCTTTAGCTCCATTTCATACTACGAAGGGCTTTATATGCATGCATATATAAAGCCCATAGGTTCAAGCTCTAGTCACATGCCTGCAAACAGCTGCTCCTTGGCCATCCCTTAAACACAGGGGATATGTGTTATACAGTCAAGACAGGAGAGAATCATAGAAGAGAGCTGTGAAGGGACATACACACAGGAAATTCTAGAATCAAATATTCAAAGATTGATCTACAAAGAGACCAGGTGGACTAGTCACCTAGGCCCACCCCACAAAGTCTTCACTCTATGTAAAGGGGTGTAGCTGCTAGAGGAAGGCCATGTGAGGACCTTTAAAGCACAGGCTTTTTTTTCCCACTTGGCAAAGTCTTAGGAAGGTGCTGCTCTCCGGTCAACGCTTACAAGGTGGGTGTTTCCAGGATCCTATCCCTAGTCCTTTTCTCTTCATATTCTTTATGTTCTTTCTAAGGTATGAGATATACTCTTACAGCTTCATTCAAATCTCTCTTCCAGCATACAGTATCCATTCCTGTGTACCAGTTTGTCTATTAGATGTTTTATTGCCTCTACTTCACTGAAATTAGATAAGGTATACATAAATACTAAGCACTGATGCCAGGATAACCCAAGCACTCCATTCATTAATCCAGTCATGCAACAAATACTAAATAAGCATTAATATGACAGCACAATTTTAGGTGCTCAGGTTCAGTAGTGAATAAAGGCAAAGTCACTGTTTTTATGGATCTTGCAGAGAGGAGAGAGAAAAAACAAAATAGTATACCATGCATGTAAGTGATAAAGGCTAAGGAATTAAATTAACCAAAGAGATAGGGATTATTCGGCAGGGAGAGTTGCCATTTTAGATTGAGTGGTCAGATAACAACTCACTAAAACAGTGACATATGACTGAAGACCCAAAAGTAGAAGTGAGTTGCAGCAATGCCTAGGGGAAGAGCCTTCTCATCAAAAGAAATTCAACACCTTCAAGAGGACATATGCCTGACTAGTTAAAGGATCAGCAAAGGGACCCAATACAGCTGAAATGAAGCATGCAAGAGGAAGAAAGAATAATTGAAGAAGAGGACAGAAAGGAAAAGGAGCCAAGTAGTTTCCCTGTAAGGACTTTGACTTCAGGGAGAAGGAAGGTTTTAAACAAAGAGATGATGTGATTATTATAAGGCTCGTTCAGATGCTGGGTTGAGAACAGACAAGGGGACAAGAGCAGGAACAGAAGGTCAGTTAGCAGGCTGCAATAATATATGTTGTGCAAAAGTAACTGCAGTTTTGCTATTACTTTTAACGTAATATAAACTACTTTTGCACTAACCCATAATTAGATGAGAAGTAATACTGGCTGAGACCAGAGTGGTAGTTGTGGAAGTAGTGAAAAGTGATCATGGCTAAGCACAGTGGCACGTGCCTTTGTCCCAGCTACTTGGGACAGGAGGTGGAAGGATCACACCAGGCAAGTTGAAGCTGCAGTGATCGCAGATCTCACTGCTGTACTCCAGCTTGGGCGTCAAGCAGGACCCTGTCTCAAAAAAGAAAAAAAAAAAGTGATCAACCTTTAGATATATTTTGCAGATAAAAGGATGAGATTTGCAAGCAAAATGGATGTGGATTGGATTGGTATGAGAGAAAGAAAGAAGTCAAGAATGAATCCAGGCTGGAAGATTCTCAGATGATGAAGCAGGATCCACCAGGAGTCTGTATCACTATCTAGACAACAATTACAATGGCAGAATCTACCTAACATAATTGTTTTCGAACTCTGGAAGATACTAAAGGCTTGCAACCTCCAAGGGAAGACTTGGACAATAAACTGTGGTTAATTTCAGTCATTTCAGTTCTCAGCACAGAATCAGCTACCCATTCCCCAACTCAAGGGTAGACAGCTGTGTATGTGTTCCTGGAACAGTAAGCATGCTACTTGTGAGGGCAAAGGTAAGCAAAAAGCACTATCTTCCAAATATCAGGGATCTGTGCTCTGATCACTGATTATTACTTCTGATCACAGAGGGCACACAAAGAAATGACAGACATTATTGTTATGCCTCCCTTCACTGTGGCCTCTCCCCCTCTGGCTGAAGTCACTTCTAGGGGACTTAAAAGGCCAGCAAACCCCCACCCCCCAACTTTCTCTTTTTTCCCTTTTGAGAGATACACATTAAAGACTAGGACATTTGGCTGGGCGCGGTGGCTCACACCTGTAATCCTAGCACTTTGGGAGGCTGAAGTGGGTGGATCACTTGAGGTCAGCAGTTCGAGGCCAGCCTGGCCAACATGGTGAAACCCTGTCTCTATTAAAAATACAAAAATTAGCCAGGCGTGGTGTCGGGCACTTGTAATCTCAGTTATTCAGAAGACTGAGGCAGGAGAACTGCTTGAGCCCAGTAGGTAGAGGTTGCAGTAAGCCAACATCAAGCCACTGCACTCCAGCCCAGGCAACAGAACAAGACTCCAACTCAAAATAAAGAACAAAATAAAGACTACGACATTCAAAAACTATATATATGGAAAAACGTGGAAAATGA